CCGCCCTTTGGCAAAAAACCATGTTATGTATGTGATGTAGTTGATAAAGATAAAAAGGCTATTGAACATCAGAACAGAAGTGGATCTGGGTCAGCATACCAGACTGTCTTGGCAGGTTTCACACCGTGATGCATTGCTATAATACCCCTCGCGGGCCGGGCCTTAAGGGACAGGTTTTTTTTTCATCTTACATTTTCAGGGGTGTGGCTTCGTCATCCATTCTTGGAAGAAGGCTTTCGCGTTCATGATGGCTCCGAAACGGGATGAACCGCTGTATCGAAGGCAAATTCTCAAAATGGTGCGCTCCGAGATTAGGAGTTGCCATCAAAACCTTGCGTGATGCTTAAGATGTAGGTCTTAAATTGGTTTCAGTGCAGATTGACGCTAACCATCAACACTCAATCACAGTCGATGATCCTTGCTTGGCCTCTGGGCAAATACTTTGGAAGCAGCTTGGGGAAAATGAAATCTCGAGATTTATTTCGTTGAAGTACAACTGTCATGGCAATAAATGCATAGCTCTTCAAATTAATGATTATCGTTATGATAAAATCTTGTTTAGACCTGACCTGACTAGGCCCCACAGAGCGAGGATCTTCCAATTGAGAACATATTTGGTTTGTAAATGCCCTAATTGATCATGAGCATTGAATTACGACTGCCGTAGTTCATGTTTTATCTAATTTTCCCCCTCGGTATTTTAGGGCTACGAACTAATAAGCCTCTCAATTCATTGACATGACGTCTCACATTCTTTCTAATAAGGTGTGTACGTATGTTTCAGCCTTGGAATGTAGCTCCCAGGGGCTCTAACTGAAGATTCCACATATACTTCGCCATAGGTCCATATCTTCATACTCAATAGCCATGATCTGAACACAGCAGACACGCCCTTCCTCCTTTCTACGCAAAATCCACTCGCTATGAATTCAAAACACCAATCACCGAAAGTAGAGCTTGAGTCTAGCTCCAAGGATACCATCACATGCTCTATTACCCAGCAAATAGCCACAGATAGTGCCTCTAGCACGACTGGATCGATGCTACGGCTTTCATTATGCGTCTCGTTTGCCGCATGGATCTCGAATTTTGACAATGGCTACGCCGGCACAGTCTTAATCATGCCTTCTTACAAACACGCATTTGGAAGCTGTGAGCAAGTCTTAGACCCGAACACCTATGCCAAAATCCAGCATTGCTCATTGACGCCACTGCAGCAATCCCTCATCAGCCTCAACTTTCTGTTCATCGCCATGGGAGGCGGGATTGCGGGCGTGACCGGTCAATATATAGGACGTAGGGGATCAATCCAGGCTGGATGCACATTTGCTATTATCGGTGCCGCTGGAATGCTTGGCACCAGTGGAAGCTTTTTGCGCTACATGGTGTGCAGATCGATTAGTGCTGTGGGAATTGGACAGCTGATGGCGGCCAGTGTGACATATGGCTCCGAGTGCATCGTCGCTAGCAAGCGTGGCCTGTCATTAGGATTATATAGTGTTGGACTCGCCGGGGGGAATGTTGCTGCTTTTGCTGTGTGTGCAGGCTCTGCACGACTGGAGCCAACCAATGACTGGCAGTGGAAGACACCCATTCTATGCCAGATACCCCTAGGTGCTATTCTCGGTGCTGGAATTTTAATGCTTCCTGAGTCTCCGCGCTGGCTCATGGGACATGGTCGAGAGGAGGAGGCGCGCAACTCGTTCGCCGCACTATACAGCCAAAGTCCGTGTTCGCAGGAAATCACCGCGCAGATTGATGAGATCCGAGCCAACCTTGCGACTGAGCTTGCAAGCCTCAAAACTGTTTCGTGCTTGGATATTTATCGCAGGAAGTATATCGTTCGCACCATGACATCTGCCATGATTATGGTCGGACTCGCCATAACCGGTATCCAGTTTGTCCAACCGTACGCTACAACTTTTCTCAAAGGTGTTGGAATGAGCGACCCATATTTAATCAATGTCATCATCGGCTTGTGCATTCTAGGCGGATCATTCTTTGGCCCGTTCATTGTGGAATATGGCGGAAGGAGACTTGCCATGATTTGGGGTTATATCGCCATGGCTGCCTGCATGCTCGCTCTTTCCTCTGTAAGCACCGCTCTCGGGATGGACGAACGTGCTGATATAGTGACCGTTGTTCTTCTGTGCTTGTGGGCTTTTGTCTTTGGTGGGACTATTGCTGCGAGTGCTAATCTCTCTTCCGTGGAGATGCACAGCGTCTCACTTCGCACCTTCGGGCAAGCCAATACAACAGTGTTCTATGGCGTCTTTGCCTTTGGTGCAACATTTTGGACACCATATATGTTAGACGCGGACTACGGGGACATGGGTTCCAATGTGGGCTATTTCTATGCAGCTGTAACCGCTGTCATCGGGATTTTGTCCTTTTTGTTCGTGCCAGAGACTGCTGGAATTACGCTAGAGCAGATTGACAAGGGCTTCAACTCAGGTATCAAGGCGTGGAAAACTTCGCTGCCCAAGAATCGAGCCATTGCTTCTTCTCGGCAACGAAACATGGCAGGTGGAATGGTCGAAGCATAACAAACGGTGCCTGGCTGTGGTCAATTTGCTGTGGATGTCTCATTGATATCATGTATAGATTATAGCACATAACTTGGGTCCTACTAGTGGAATTGCAGGGTGTTAAAGTTGCAACAGAAAACCCGGTGAGTTAATGACAAGGAAATTAACCAACCCAGGATCTGATAAATGAAACAAAAGCTCTAGGCAAAATTTGAACATTACGCTTCTCAAATTTCTCTTAAATATTGCAGTTTCATTTGTGAGTTATAGTGGCATGCTCACGTGACCCACAGGGCCCTAACGCGCCGTTCTTCCCCCGGCGTATGTCGACTTGTACACAACTGTCAAGTCGATCGAATCTTGCAAGATCCCGGAAGGCAAATGTGAGTACAATCTAGTTTCACCGTAAATACGAGAAAAAGCCACAATGGATCAAAGTCCACGGTGATCGATCGCCACATGCGCGCGAGTAGGCTGTTGGCTGAAGTTGTATCAATCTGGTAGTTGAGGCCTGTGAATAGAGCCTTTCTTGACAGATAATAACATAAAAGACATCTAATTGATGGTAGTTGAACCATTTCGAGTGAGAATATCAAACTTCATTTACCCCGACATACGCGTTATGTTAGGTTGACTCGACTCGGTCACCACTGCCTAATTTGTCCCCCTTCCAGATGCAAATGAAAGCTTTAAATTGAATTCAATTCGTTCTCTTCTTTCGTTCTCTTTTCCCTTTTCCATCTACTACGGATACTTCTAAAGTCAGAAAACGTACAGTTTTGAACGAAAAATACGAACCATCGTGAGTTGATGACATTTCCCACCTGCAAGATGCAATGATTTGTTGATAACATCTTCTTTGAAGTCTTGAAGCCCAGTCATCACGTTCGTTTTCATAACTGCTCCTGCTCCGTCTCCAGCGGTCATGTCTTTCTTCTCCAATCCCCGTCGTGGTGGCCGGCATGATGCCGAGCCTGAGCTCTTTCTAGCGTCGCGCACTCAGGCTACCAGCTTGCCCAAAGAGTCTCCCACGACTCTTCTAAATATCACAAAGCTCAGAACAGACTCTAGCCTCAGTGTGTGGGGCAACGAGATCCGTCACGTCTTGCGACCTTTCAAACTCGATGCACTTGTGGACTATGATCTTCCGAGACCTCACACAGGAGATGTAAACTACAACAGATGGAAGTTCTGGACTCTGGTTATTGCTAGTTGGTTATTTAACCAGGTAGATGCCTCACTCCAACTCAAAGTCAAGGCACACTCGAACGACCTCACCTTCGCCGATGAAATTTTCAATACAATCAGGTTGCTGAGCCTACATAGCCAGTCCAAATTCCTTGCGAAAGAGTTGAAA